CCTGAGTCCTCAGGAATGACAACGCATGGAGGCGTATCATGAGCGAAACAGTATACTCTGTTATGTCCATGATACTGCTCATGTCTATAGGCGACGGTTATCACTTTCCATCAGGTGGGCCATCAGTTTGTTTGCCATTCTAAGTTGTACACCTTTTATATTACTGGCCATCATAATACGCCTTTTATATTACTGGTCATCAGAATACGCCTTTTGTATTACTGGTCATCAGAATACGCCTTTTGTATTACTGGTCATCAGAATACGCCTTTTGTATTACTGGTCATCAGAATACGCCTTTTATATTACTGGCCATCAGAATACGCCTTTTGTATTACTGGGATGAAGCCGCGATAAAAGAGAACTACAATATTAAGCATTTTTATTATCAACCCGTTTCTCTTAATGTATGAATAAAACGCATGACACTTTGTAAAATGTACATTTAATCTTACATTCATAATCACGTGTACTATGTACATTAGAAAGCGCACTATACATACACAAAAATATTGTATTCATCGTTCTACAACCGTCGTGAATCGAATGCATCGCCAAAATACAATCGGAGAGAAAAATGCTTTGCAATTAAATAAAATGATTGAAAAAAAAACAAACTCTTGTTTCAAATACTCTACTAAATTCACACAAAAGGGGACAATTATATTTTATTCTATTCAGTTAAATTAATAATATTTTATATAAATAAATACGCTAGTCAAGTCCAAATAAAGAATTTACATTTAATTTGAAAAGTATCAAGATATATTATCATATATATGCCCTTGTAAATTACATTGTTAATGCATTTATAAATGTTGTGAGCAAGGGTGGACTTATCTCTGACAGAGATCTCTTCCAGTCAACCCAATACAGTTGAAAAGCATGGTGTTAGCGGGCAGCTGAAGTGCTACAACTATTAATATTTATAATACATAAACAAATATACAGTTAAATGAAATATTAAAATATAAAATATTACATAAATACTTAATCGAATTAGCAATGAGGAGGTCCTGCTTAGGGTTAAGGAAAAAAGACAAATTATTAGAACTATTGAGGACAGAAGGGGAAAAATGTTGGGACATTTGATACGATACGACGAACTTATGAACATTATAATAGAAGATAAGATAGAAGGGAGGAGGGGGAGAGGGAGACCGAGACATAGTTACATCAGGCAGATCAAGGAAGCAGTTGGTGTCGTGTCGTATCAAGAGGTGAAGAGACCCGCTGAAAATCGTAGTGAGTGGCAAGAGCTCCACTGACAAGAGCGCAGCTCTTAAATAGAGATAGATAGACATAAATACATATACTATAAATAAATAAATAATTTTAGTAATGATAAATGACTGTATCATGGACAAATATGCTTTTCTAACACATGTGTAGACAAGAAAAACACAAATTTTAAATATATTAGATTAATATTGTACAATTAAATTGGATTAATTATAAACTCAATAACGATGAAGTTTTTTAAGTCTCAAGAGTTTTATTTGTTATTGTGTTTTAAATATATTTATCATGCCTTTACTTTTTTTACAGTTTTTAACAACTCCAAGAAGGTTAAAGTTTTAAATTCGACGGAATTATTTGAAATATTATGTGCGAACTTAAATTATTCTTTATGCAATCGGTAACATATACATATATACTCCCGTTGTGGCGACTGAAGTAAATTTTTCTGCGGCTAAAGCAATTCAAATTTTACATTTATGAATACAAGAGGTACAAAACTTAAAATGTATACAAACAACACGTTCAAATATTATATACTAAACTAATACATTTACGACAATAAAAATATTTATTAAATTATAAATTGTCGAAATTGCACGCATTTGTTCTTTGGTAGTGGCTACATTACAATGTGACGACTAGCATTTGTTATAAAAATAAATAACTTAATTATAAAATAATTATTACTTATCAATAACTTAATGGCTGTTGTTTTGCAACAAACATTACTCGTCTCCGTCACATTACAGTTGTATGATGCGATATTAAAAAAAAAAAATTAAATCTATTTCTTTCATTTCTAATGGCTTCTAAAGAATCATACAACTTCAACGTGATCAACGGATTATTAAGCGTTGTTTTTTTTTTCTCTATTAACTACGTTTGCACAACTCGGACTAGATTTCTCAACTTTTTGTTTTTTAATGAAGCAGCACTTAAATAAATATTTTTTTTTTTTTACATCTAATAATTATTACAACTTTAAGTAATATCACGCACAAATTTGCTTTCATTTTTTTGCTTTATTTATTCATACTAACGCACTTTTGCCGTCTCGAAAAATGGAATGTATACATATGAGATCTATCGACTAGAGAGAAAAGAAACTAAAATATTCTATACACGACCCTATTTTTTTTTATTATTATTATTATTTATTTAACAAATAATGCATTTTTTATGCGGCATTTGTATGATTCCCAAAATGCTAGTAGAGAATACACTAAACTTTTATTATAGTCTTGTATTCTAAAACGGAATAGGGAACGTGTATAGACCACTTAACATAGTAATACGTCACACGTATATGCACGTAAATAATGGGTTTGTCAGTCGTGCTTACATTATTGTTTAACCTTACATAAGAAACAGTGTTGCAGTGTTATGTTGTTACTTAAAAAATAACAAACTTTTTTTAAATTGTAATACAGTAAATATACAAAATATATAAGTAAAAATTTTATACGTCAACATAATGGAATGAATTTACACTTACCTATTGTAAAATATCGAGATTGTATGTAAAAAGCAAAAGAGTTTGTAACAATAATTCTAATATGACTTTTAAATTAAGATAATTCGATTTAATCGAATATTTTTGCTAGAATTCACGCTGTAAAGAATTTAGAAAATTTTGCACATGACCATTTACCTGTAAAAAATTTTACTCAGCGCTTTTTTCTTTAATAGTAAAAATAGACTTTTTAACACTTCTCTTCTCGACTGTACCTCGTGACTTAGCAAAATTTAAATCCTTTACAGATGGATTGTGTCTATAGTACGCTACAAAACCGATTTATTTAAACTGGTTTCCTTTTTTTTTTCACTATAACCTAAAAATTGTAGTTTACTTGAATATATTACACTCTTTCATAGTAAAAAAATATGAATGTGTCAAATAAAAATCACCACTATTGCCTATTGGATAAAGCACATTTTTATTTAACATTTATGTACTCTTATAATTATTATTCTAGACAAATTACCAAAATTGAAATATGCTTGCGACTGTATTTCCAGATGGCGAAACAAAATTAAATCATTGTAAATAATTTAGCCAGAAACCTGTCGTTTACCCCGAACGAGTTACTTAAACTGAACTAAACTTTACAAACCCACAAGCAATGTATAAACACCGCCATACGTATATAATTTCTTGGTAGTATCGATCTTACAACATCAATTACAAGGTAGAGTAACATATTCAAGTAACTGCCAGGAGTGAGCAAAGTAAATAATTGTAACAAATTATTCTAATTATTTGATGTATATATATATATATATATAAATAATATATAATTAAATTATCATTAACTATTTGTAGACGTCTGACTAGAAACGTTTGATATTCAGAGATCATTCTGAATCGAATGACTACACACGACTGGAATGTGGGTATTTGAAAAAAAAAAAGTAAAATCATCATGATGAACCTTCTTAGAGGACTATTCTGAGTATCTTTTCAACAGCCTGCTTCTACCTTGGTACAGTCTGCCTGTAATCTTCAATCTTATATTATATAGATAAAGCATCAAACCTCAAAAAAGGGTCAACTTTATGTCAGCAATTTTTTTTTTTATACAACTTACAATGGGAAACAAGCTGACGGCCCACCTGATGGAAAGTGGTAACCGTCGCCTATAGTCACGAGCAGTACCATGGACATAACAGAGTATACTGTTTTGCCCATGATACCCCCCATGCGTTACCATTCCTGAGGACTCAGGTGTTATTCCTCTGTACATATCCCACTCTTCAAACCGAAACACAGCCATGCAAACATAACTGCTTCACGATAGAAACACGAATGGGACAGAGGTACCCAAGCAATCGACTTTTGTACAAAGTCTCCCACTGGTAAATTAAGAAATAAATATTATTAAATGCAATAGAATACTTAATTGTCAAATTAAGTATTCTATTGTATTTATTTACGCATAAAATGTATCTTGACGTATTGTTTAATAAATAAAATGAGTGTTTACGCATTAAAAAGATGCAGAAATTATAAGACAAGATAAATATAGAAGTTATAAAAGGAATCACTCATAACTATTTATCAAGTAAAATTGTGCGAAAAAGTTGACCCGTTTTTCTCGAAGCATGCAAATGGAAATACTCTATCTATATAATCTTAGTCTTCAACGTACATGAAGGAAGTTAGTGGGGATCAAAATCAAGTTTTCAACTATCCTTTGAAGTAAGTTCTACTAGAGTAATTAAACATTTTTCCAAAAAAAAAATGTGGTTAAAAAGACACAAAAATGTCTACCTATATATAAAACCTATGCCAAACCACTGCAGAGTTTGAAGACGAAGGTCTCTCACCAATGCGTGTTACCAGTGGTGATCTACACAACCTGGTCCTACATGGTTGGCCGTGTGCAGAAGTTTCAAGTTGCTTAACGAGCCATGGAGAAGACTATGCTCGGAGATTCTTTGCGTGATAGAATCCGAAATAAATATATCCGCAGAAGAATAAAAATGACCGACATAGCTCGAAAGATAAGCAAGAAGAAGTAGTATTGAGCTGGTTGAGCACAGCTTGAAGAACCGATAACCGATAGGGAAGGAAAGTTCTCAAGTGGCGACCCCACAGCGGCGACAGGTAAAAGCAGTAGAGAACTGTCTACCTATATACCTGTCAATATTTGAATTTTAACAACATGAATTTAATTATTTTATATATCAATTAACTTAACTTTATGGACACTCACTATTATATATGGGTTTCTTACATACATGTGCTTATATTGCGCATACACCCCCTAACTTGCCTACCTCGCTATGGAATCAAAATTTTTGTTTGTATAAGTAAAATCCGTTATTGGCTGTATTCATAAGAGACTTAGCATGTAAGTTATTTTTTAAGAGCTGTGGATTTTTGTATAAAAAAAAATAAAAAAAAAAAAAATAAAAGAACGACCCCTACTAGATGGAGTGACAAACTCAAATTGCATGGGAGTCAGTGAATGCAGGTGGCTCGGTGAATACAGTAAGACTACTGTGGGTAACGGTCGCGACCCCATAGACATGGGGAAGGCAGCAGTACACAGTTACCAGCTGATATAATAGTGATAATAATACCTACGCCACATTCTGCTTTGAAGTTATTGTTTTAACCTTAAAATTTTGACATTCGATCAGTGGCGTATCTACACCATTTGGGGCCTGTGGCAAATGCTTTTGATGGGGCCCTATCAGTAAAAAAAAACTTTTCAAGTAAAATAAAATACTCAATGTAAAAAAAATATTTCTGAGATCGCGGCTTCTTGAACCGGGGCCCTTTTGGGTCGGGGGCCCATGACATTTTGCCACTGCATTGGATCCACATTTTTTGGCAAATAATCTTCAATTTACCTAGTAGAACATTCCCTTAAAAAGATGCAAACTATTTCGGTTTCACTATGCATATTGTAAATAAAGATTAAATATTTATAATAATAAAAGAACAGACAGTTAAACAACTCGTTATAGAGATCTTCAATTAAATTGCAAAAAATGCATTCCAAATTTTTTCTACAATCAGCGCCATCTTTGAGACTAAATACAAAGTAGCTATTATGAATACTTAAAAACACCCACATATTCGCCATGTGTAGCTTCCATAACCCATATTACCTAACGCCGTCCATTTATTCAACATCACTATCATAACTGTACACTTTTCTTGAAGTTGTCGTAATGATTTCCAAATGTCGTGATACGATTTCTTAAAATAACCCAAAATATTTTTATTACACAAAATATTTTCACCTGTTATATGTTAAATGAAACATTAATGATAAAAATGAAACATTTCACGTTTACAGCAAAATAGAATAGAAAAATTATTATAACTAAGGTGACTTAGAAAAAATGACACCAGAGGGCACTACCTTAATACTAATATCATTTTATCAGTGTTTTTTCATTACTGTGAAAATAATGTGATGACTTAGAAAAACTGACACCAGAGGGCACTACCCTAACAGAAATATTACTATTTGATGTAGTATTAAAAAGGGATTTTAAAAATCAGAAAGTTAATCTTGGCATCACATTATTTTCACAGTAATGAAAAAACACTGATCAAATGATATTAGTATTAAAAGTAACTAATAATCAGATTTTTTTAAGTAAATAAATAAAGTTTTAATTGCTTGAGTAATTGAAAGACATTAAACACGTATGAAACAAAGAAAAAGAAAATGAATGTTGAAAAACAAAATTACGTATTAGTAATTTTCCTGGTTCCTTTTTTTTATATTTAAAAAAAAAGTAACTTGTCGTACTTATTTTCACATAGAAATAAAAAATTGAGCGATATTACTTTCATTTAACATTTTTTTTTCTTATTTTTTTATATGTTCTAATTTTAAAAATTATTTGATATTAAAACTTAAAAAAATTGGTCACCAAACAATAGTTACAACATCTGAAATTCATTCTTAAGATAAAAGAGAGGCAGTTTGGCAATATCTCACCAAATCTCATTTATATGGAAAAAGCCCATAAGAATTTCTTGTTATATTTTTATTCTCTTCTTTTTTCTCAGAAAATAATGTGAGTTGATGAAATCCGTGTTATAGATTAAGTAGTCATTTAATATAATAAAGCAATATACATATGTCCATATGAAATGAAAATTTGTAAAAAGTGGACATGTTGACTGTTACTCGTACGTTCACCTTAACAACAAAAATTGACAAATGTCTTTGACTACAAATGACCCCAATAACTGTTAATAATTTACGTTTTGTTCAAAATCTTACATAAAGGTTTGAATATAAGGTACACAACCATATAGAAACAAATAAATAAAAAGGGAAGAGAATTCAGAATTCTGATAAAGCATTTAACGTAATTAACAAACGTATTTGAAAGGGAACCTCGAGACTGCATTTTACTAACCGGCCGTTGTGTTAGCACCTCTAAAACGTACGACCATTGGAAACCTTAACCAACAACTCCAAGTCCATTTCATAGTACTAATAGCTGCTGCTGTTGCATACGGCGTCACAAGAGGTGATCGTCTTGGTCGTCGTGATCCTCCTCGGACTCGCCGGAGTCTAGACTCGGGACGTGGTCGAGACCGTCGTCCAATTGGTGGTCCAGTTCCGTTGACGGTGCATCGTCGTCCTTCCACTTGTCCATAGATCGTCTTCGAGCGTTCATGAAAAAATTGCCAACAGTAGTCGGCTCTAAACCTAATTGTCTCGCTATCGTCACTTGCATCTCTTTTGACGGCCTCTTTGTTTCCTGAAAAGTAAATTTTATTTCTTTATATCTGCCTTCAATCGTAAGTCACTAGATGGCGTTTTATGTTATTTTTGTATGTGATTAAATACCGACTCTATTGGGTTTTGTTATCTCAATAACTGAATTATAAATTTGTATATAATTTACATAAAATTAATTTTAATGTTTTTGTGTGTGTTTTAATGATTTTTAAACTACAAAGTGTTTGAATACAGCTTGAAATCGAAATAATTTGTATCTCTTTAAGAGAGTGTTTTCTCGATTAATCTAAATACTATATTAAAAAATATGTATCATAAATGTAAAAAAAAAATAGAAGACTTTTCTATAAAAAAAAGTTAATTTAATCCTAAAATTAGAACCAGCACAAAAATAAAATCCATCTATTTGCATTTTGCATTAAATGAAAATCAATCCAATATTGGTGAAAATATTGCGTAAAACATAAAAACTGCAGACGAATAAAAATTTTCAATAGTAATAATATATAAACAAAGTCTTAAGATGAAATTGTTTAAAGTTGTTTAAAAAAAATTCTCTTTTGAAAATGCTTAAAATAAAGAACATTGATCTTACATGAGAGATAACTCATTCAAAAATACATACAATGTAAATTGTTAAGTTCAGACTATCTTGCAAACAGATGCGAAAAAATTGCCTCTTTAACCAAACGCAATTAATATAAATTTTCAACAATTAATACCTACCTTAAAAATAGCCTGTAGAGTACGCCGCTGGAGGTCTGTGAAAACCAAACGGGGCTTCTTCGGGGAAGGCAGGGTATCCGAACCCATGTCCTCCTTGCGCTTGCAACCTGCAACGTAAACAAACAATCCATAAATAACATAGATATAATAGACAAAATATGAATAATAGTTTAAAAATAAATAGGTACCATGATTAAACCTTAATTCAAATTTAATATTTTATAGTTATATTGTAAACTTCTAGCTTTTAACCGCAATTTTTATCGCGTGATCAAAATATGATATTCACTAACTGGGATAAACAATAGCCCTATGTCTTTCTCGCCCCATATAGTAAGAGTATATTTCATTTTAAAGTGATTTGTTATGCCATTAAGGTGTTAAAATGTAACAAACAAACTCACTTTCACAATATTAACAGTATAATAATAATTCATTGATAAATTAAAAGTAAAGGACACTTACTGCCTCTCTGAGGAATCTGGGCCGCTGCAACAAGAAAGAAGAAAAATAATTTTAATTAGAGTTGAGGAAAAATTAAAACTTGGAGAAAATCAAATCACCCAAAGTTTTATGGGATCTAAAGACAACATACATGCCACTAACATAGACGATGCTATTGTCATCATATGCATTAGCAGAAACTCCATTCCAATATATTCGTTTTTCAACCAAATTTATTTGTAATTTCGAACTCTGTTAGTGCATATGAGATTTGATAAGAATCATGTAACATAAAAACGGTAAATATGTTCATTAGTAAAAACTAACATTTAGACAAATTACATTTTGTATTACCTCTGTCATTGTTACCGTTTGGTGCCCAACTATGGAGTCAATTCACCTACGAATTCACGACTCTTAGTTAAATTATTGGCAACAAAAAAAAATTTTGTTTATTCATAATTTTAACACTGCTTATATTTTTCAGTCAAAATTCATAGGTGTCGCTAATGACTTTACAACCATTTCCGTAATCGTTACATGGCTATAAATTACAAATTTTATTTCAGCTAATTTTTACTATGCTATGCTTTGAAAAGAGTTTTATCATGTCTTCTAAAATATTACAGTACGTAAACTTTTCACGTTTGATTGATTTTAGTCGAAAAAAAACATTTACATATAATACATAAAACCCATTCCAATGCATCGATACTGTAATCTAAATATCAAAACGTATTAATTATAAAAACGCATACCTGGCGACAATGTAAACAACATTAACAAAGGGGTTCTGAAATCTCGCAGGCACCTATAAAATCATATTTGAAATAAAACTATTGCAGCCCGGGCGCAGGGGAAAACAAAAAGGGAGGGAGGAGGGGGGCAGCGGTAGCAGTCTAACATTCATCTTGGCTTCTTGAAGCTAACAAAATACACTTACCTACTGCTATAAAATAATGTTTTAAAAAACATTTTCTAAAACGATAACAATAACTGTCTTTTGTCTAGGCAGTATCTTTGCCAGTTTAAATATTAAAAACAAAAACTTGTACAAAACTAACACAATGTCAAGGAAGGATACTGCCTATCCAAAAACAAACATCTATATGAGCAAGTCTCTATACAATTTACACATTTACTTTTATAATATTGACAAAAATAAAGATAAATATAATCATACAGACATTCCCCTCTCGTTAACTAATCATGAGGCTTGTCACAAAGCAAACCTGTTAAAATTAAAACGGTTTATATACTAAAATATATTTACTTATATGTTAAGTGTAGTCGTTCATAGTGTACTTGTTTTACCTTTGGGACAAGCTATAGACAAATATTTTTATTATACCTATAAGAAACCAAGTCCACTGCTACGCAGCCATGGAACGGGACAGGATAATTGGACTATGATTGATGGAAATTTTTGTATGAAGAAAAACATGGATACAAATCTAATTTCATGATTACAATTAATTTTGAAACAATAAAAAAAATGTAATAACAATAGCAAATGAAAAATATCGTCTAAATAAAGATATCTAGAGAATTCACAAAATAATGTAGATTTTAGACTATTTAAATTAAAAACTAATTTAAACGAAAGTTATAATCCATTGTACACACTAGTGGTAGCAAAAATAATGAAAGACAAACAAAAAAAGGTAGAAGGAGGAAGGATTATGGAATATAGGTATTTGATGGTAACCAGGAATGAAATCAAGTTGTGGGAAGGACTCACAAGCAAGAAACATCCCCGGCTGGTTCGTATGCCGGTGTGTCCCAGTTGGGCGGGGGCCCCGGGTACATTGCGGTGCTCTGTACTGGCGTAGCCTGGTACTCCCTGGGCTGTCCGTATGTCGGTTGTGGCGTGTTGTTTACATTGTCGCCTTTAATCGTTTGGTGCTGGTTTGGGTTATCTGCGAAAGTATAGTATCAGTTGGTCGTCTTATTAGACTTGAAAATCAAAAATACTATCCTCATCTTTTATTCCATTGATAAAATTAATAATTCTCATACAACATTAAAATAATTTGTCGTTGTAGTTAATGTTGAAATTTAAATCTCTAATTTATTTACAAATGCAATACGACAAAAATAAATAGAGTGTTAGAAATACGATAATATTCTAATTTACTTTTCCGTGCTTCATATTTTTATGTCTATAGCTGTTAAATTAGTAAATCATTTTAAATACACAAATATTCAGTATTCGAAACGTTGGAATTTCTCTTACATAAAAAAAAGTATCCGTATCTGATACTCTTAGCTCTTACTACGTGAATTGAGATAAAATCTATCCAATTTCATTCAAATCCATTCAGCGTTTGAAGAACAAATATTTAAACATGTATACTAACTTGTAAATTTACAATATCAGTATTCCAGTGCGTGATAAAATGCATTCCTTGACTTGCATAATAAAGACGGAACAGACAACTAAATATCAAATATAATGGCATGCCCGAGACACTAAATATCTGTTCTCATAGCTTTATCCAGTTAGGTTGACGTTAACATCACTCAATATTTAAAAATGTTCTGCAGTTTTTATTTTAAAGCCCCATCATTCCTATGGCGCAATATAACTTAATAACCCTGATTATTTGGTAGAAACATTAGATTTTAATATCAAATATACAGGTGGAAATTATCCTTTGAAAATAAGTATTCTAATAGTGAAACTGAATCTTGAAGAAACAATCATCCGAATACGATATGACATGTTGCGTTCAGAAGTTAAGGAAGGCCGTAACAATCTTAACCGTAATTCACTAGAGGGAGATTTTGTACAAAAGTCGTTGCTTGGGTACCTCTGTCCTATTCGTGTTTCAACCGTAAAGCAGTTGTCTTCGCATGGCTGTGTTTCGGCATGAAGGGTGCGATATGGCAGTGAATTTACAGGGTACAGAGGAATAACACCTGAGTCCTCAGGAATGGCAACGCATAGGGGGTATCATGGGCGAAACAGTATACTCTGTTATGTCCATGGTACTGCTTATTTCTACAGGCGACGGTTACCACTTTCCATCAGGTGGGCCGTTAGCTTGTTTGCCATTCTAAGTACTTCTCTTTCAACACATGTATGATGTATACTATATTCCCATCTTCTTATGACACATATACGATATTAAAAAACTAACAGCTTAATCAATGCATAACCGAAATTACTGGATTTTTGAACATTTAACGTTGAAAAAGAGTTCCTTCTATCACTGTAATGTAAAAAAAGGGTTTCATAAACCACAATACATGCATTTATTATAGTTTCGTCTCTTTTACCAGAAGGAGACTTTGTATAAAAGTCGTCTGGGTGACGACTTTTATATACTTTTGTATACATCTGTCTCACTCCTATTTCTGCCGTTAAGCAATGATGCTTGCATGGCTATGCTATGGTGATAAGTATGAGATTGAAAACAAATACCATAACACCTGATGAATGACAAGTACCATGGATGTAGACCCTATAATGTCCTAGATACTGTTCATGTCTATAGGCGACGGTTACCACTTACTACCAGGAAACCGTCTTCTTGTTTGCCATACTAAGATTTGTATAAAAAAAATGTACCTAATCATTTAATTACAATTTCAACCGAATTAAATTCAAAGGTCATTAATCACACCATATGAATATGTCCATTGAAAATACCAAAAGAAACCCCGATATACCTACACGTTAATCCCCAGAAACGTCTACGGGTCGCGGGCGGCGGGGCGGGGGAGCGCACGATCGATAAACTGGGAGGTGGGGGGATGTGACGTCACGAGGGGAGCCATGTGCCGCTAATGTCGCTGGTCCTAGCGAGGGCTTTTCGTTTGTACTGTGTTGACAATTTTCTTCTGCTTTTGGCCCAATTTAAGCTCTAAATCGTCACATGTAGAGTGTAAATTCCTAGGCGGATAATTCTAATGAAAGTTGATAAGAGAAACATAATAGATACTGTAGATAGTAAAAACAAATGTACTAATATATATTTTTTTTTAAAAAGAATAGATTCGATATTTAAAATTGTGACACTGGTATATTTAAAAAAAGTACCTACAACTTAATATTTTTGAAAATAGAAAGCCATAGAGTACTATCTTTAAACTCCCTTTTGCGTCGAAAATTTAATATTCAAATCTGATGAAATCATATCTCCTCATTAGACTTGACTTAATTTGGGATTTGGATACCTTTGATATTGACAGAAAACCCGCTGCGATGTTTCTATAGATAAATAAACAATTATAAAAGTTTATCATGGGATTTTAATAAATTTAAACGTGGAAGTGCAAAAATAGGTAATTTTTGAAATTAGATTCAAATACGAAGTAAAATACATATAACAACTTTATTTTTGCCAATTTTTTACTATTTGTATTATTAATATTATTATTTTTTTGTAATTATATAGGTAAAATTAATTGTACCTAATTGATATTTTTTGGTACGTTAAATTGTTTTTTTTTTTAAATCGCTTTCACTAATAGGTTATCCTCGACTGTTATCCCAAATGGCTTAGCAAAGATTATTTCTGGGCATTATAGTATGTCCAGTTAAAAAGTTGTAAAAGTTTACATCTAGATGAATCATATAAAAATAAAAAAAAATTAAAAAATATTAATAATATACAAAATTGATTAACCATTGATGTTTGATTGATGTTTGATTGAATTGATTGATTCAGATATATTTATAATTATATACCATTTGGAAGTTTATTGCCTTGTATTGGAAGGAACCATTACCGTGTGTTCCCGGCATATAATATGCCACCCTATCCTTTCCCGTGGGTGTCGTAAGAGCCGACTAAGGGAGGGCGAAGGATGGGCAGCAGCATCCTCTTAAAACATCTCTAAAGCCTGACTGCGGTTGTCGATCCGCCTACCAAGCGTGCCAACTACTGGCAAAACCCCAAGCGGGAGGCTTACGTTCAACAGTGGACAGTTGAAGGCTGATGTGATGATGATGAAAGTTTATGGTTTTGTGTGAACATATCTATATTGAAAATACTCTTTTTGTTTTAATATTGCATTAGTCTTATTTCTTACCCTTT